CGCCGGCCCCCCTGGCCCTCACTGGTCCACCGGCTCCAAGCAGGCCCTGGTTTGGCACGTTGGTTGAGAGGGAGTTAAACTTTTCACAGTTTTCTGGATTGTTTGCAGTTCAGTCCTGTGCAACATAATGAAAGTTTTCTAGCCATCTGTTGCTAAGCTGGCGGTGAGCAAGGCCAGTATATCCAAACAAAGTTCTGGCCTGCCGTAAACTGAACCTGTCAGTTTAGCATAGCTTTGCTGACCCTTTAGTGAACAGGGCAGCCCTTGGTACCAGGCACTCACTGCTTAGAGCTTTCAAAGGGGAACTATTTTGAGGTTAGGGGGTGGGGGCCTGTTTACTTTTTCCCTCCTGTTCCTCTTGCTGGCGTGGAACTCACTCGTTTATACTTAATCTTTAAATGGGTGCTTTTCCCCCTTCCTTCCCCCTCCTCCCCTGGGCCAGGGGGTGGGAGGTGGGGGGTGGGCATTACTTCTTAATAGGAGGTTGTAACAGTTAGGAAAAGGTATGAGTGTCTATACATGCGTGTGAGGTGGCTGTGATTGGAAGGGGTGTTCTCTGCAGTTATTTTTGTTTCTTTTTGTTGTTGTTGTCCTTCAGTGTTTGGGGACAAGTAGTCCAGGCAAAGAAGCTCCTAAACTTATTACTTAGCGTGTATGATGACACATGTTTCATAGCTTTAAAAGGACCTTTTTCTCCCTTTCTGTGCGTTTTGTGTTTTGTCATTGGACATTAATATACAACAGAATCCAACAGAGGAGCAATTAGACAGCGCTCCCTGCTGTATGGGGTATTGCCTGCTCCTCTGTTCTCATTCGCAGGGTCAATGCATTGCTTCAAATTGCCCACCTTAACCTTAAAATGATCTCACTGTTTTGTGACCCTTTTTTTCCTTCTGTAATGGTGTTTCTTGGCTATGTATGAAACATCCTGTGTCACACACACTAGTGTCTATATAATTTCTAACTCTTGTTCGCAGAATAAACTTATTTTTAAGTCTGTTTTCCTTGAACTTTCTGAAGTACCATCTTACACATTCACAATAGGATCTGAACGCAACCAGTGCTAGACAGGAAGTACGCAATTTGTAGACATATGAGAAGTCTTCAAAAAGTTCATGGAAATGACTTAATATGAACAAAACTATGCATGCATTTAATATTTTTGTATTAAAATAAGCATTTTAGTTCCATTTTACGTGATCTCAAGTTTTTGTACACACACACACACACACACACACACGTGTGTGAGTCCCTAACCTATCGAGTTCCCTTCTGCTAGTGGCCTCATGTAGGAGCTGTTGTATTTTCATCTTGCCTTTACTATCAGGAATTGCCCATCCACACTGGTTACCTGTGTGCCCGGGGAAGAGAGGGCCTGGGGTGGCTGCCATCAAACCTACAGGAACCCGAAAATTACTGATATCCAAGGAAGAGCTGTTTCAGCCACTCCCTCCGCCACTCAGCCCCCCAGGTGAGAAGGGGACTGCAGTTGCACACAGCACAGAGGAAAGAGACACCGACAGGAGGCACACTCATCCAAAGACCAGAGGACAGCGTTGGGACCCACCTTTAGCAGCAGTCAAGGGGTCTGCAAGGATCAGGCAGTAAGTCAATAGGGTGGGGTGGTGAGACAGAAGAAACAAAGGAATAAACAAGGAGACACAGTCTTCCATTTGAGGGACAAGGAATATCGCCAAAGTGAAAAGTGGTCAATTGAAAATGTAACTGAATGCACTTATTTGGAAATATCATCGAGTCATATCTGTTTGTAAGGTGACTGACATATAAAGTGCTTTTTTGTTTTAAAGTAAAAAAAAAAAAAAGCGTATTTGGGGTAGAGTTTCAGGCGTAAGTGTCAGGTGCAATGGAACATGTATTCATGCTAAGAGTCAAGCAAATAACCTTGGTATTTAGGACACTGCCTTTCAGAACATGAAATTGTATTTTGTTGTGTCTTTTTTTTTTAAGGACTACATTAAGAGGTCACCTATTAGCTGTGTTTTTGCTGTCTTAAACTCAGCCCTTCTGTCTATTAAAATCAAACCACTGTGTAAACATTCCAGTGTTGTTCTTGGTCTCTACAATGGCCACGGGGATCAGGTTTCACCTGCCTGCACATCTTCAAGCAATTAGAGCAATTAGCGTGAAGCCATTTCACATTGCAGGATCCAAGGTCTATGGTGACATTCAAGTCCAGGGTGAGCCTGAAAGGGAGAGTGAGGGAGAGGCCTGCAGCATGGCCACTATTCCGTGGCCCTGAGCAGACAATTTCTCTTTTAAAAATGGTAGCTCTTTAATGATGTTATTATGAGGTTTTTAAATGACATATCAAAAGTTGTTTATATCAAGAAAATCCAACAGTCATTTAATTATACTAATGAAGGTCTTTATACGTGGTGGATTAGGAAAAAAAAAAAAGACTTTTAATGACCATGAGAAATGGAGTGTCGCTTCTTGTATCAGAGTGGTGGTGGCAGCAGTCTGTGTAGAGAAAGAATATATTTTATACCATAGAAGGGAATTTGCATGTCTCTTTTCATGGTAAACCTCCCTGTTTTGGGTGAATGTAATGATCACAGCAACATGGAATATTCTGTGGGAGATTTTTGGAGTAAGTGTTGAAAGCAACTATGTTGGATTTTTTTTTTAAGGTTACAGAAGAACAGTGGTTACTTTAGCAGATTGAACTAGTACAGTTTAAAGAAAAATTACCAACTTTAGCACATCCAATAGCTGTGTAGGCACGACAGAAGGTGACTTTTAAAAAAGCAGTCTTAGACACTGGTACGGTCTGCTTTGTTTGTTTGTTTGATTTGTTTTTTACATTTGTAACCTAGTTACGCAGGAATCTTGTTTGCACAAGGCAAACCCTAAACTGATTACAGCTTTTTAAATTGGATCCTAGGTTTTTAAATCCATATTTTACTGTTGGTTTATTATGCAAAAAAGGTGGAGGGGGGAGCGCTAATTTTAAAAATCCAAGCTCGCTGCAAAAGAAGATCCTGCTTTGCAGTCCCAGAGGGTGTTTGCAATCAGGAATATCCGCGGGCTAAATTATAATGTGGAATTCTGTTGTCCTCTAGCCTGACGCTGCCTGTTCACGTTCAGTGTTTGTTAACAAACAACTCAAAGTGCAACATCGTTCAGAGAATTACCTGTTCCTTAAATGCGCCGCCTTTAATGAAAATAAGAGATTTTTCTGTAAACAGTAATAATAACAGTCGTGCACCTCTGAGAAAGTTCTTGCCGCAGTCTCCTTACGGAAGTGCCCGAGTTGGCTGAAAAGCCACAAGGGGAGAACACTGACCTCTGTGTGGGACAGAGCTGGAGCACTTGTGTTCAAGTCCTTTTAGGGAACTGGGCTGCGTGGAGCTCCCCAGCCCCAGCACTGACTCCTTAAGCTGTGCTGTTGAGAGATGGCTCTCGTGGGCGGGCTCGTCCGGGGTGCTCAGGCCGTGTGCCATCTGCGACTGCATCACAGGGCAGAGCACAGGGTGCTAACACATGCCAAGCTCCTTGCTCTGCCCCCTGAACACGGATTGCTAGGAAATCATTTGCTGAATCTGTGCTGGACCAGCTGAGATCCAGAGCGACATTTGCATGGGACACTCCACCCCTCCTAAAGGGGGAGAGGCTGTGCAGGGCTCTGTAGGGAGGCAGGCGGTAAACCTGATCATTCCCATTTCTCCCCTAGCCTCGTCCAGTGCGTCTATGATCTGCCTTTTGAACTGTTTTTGTGGCTGATCAGTTCCACCTAATATGTCTCTTGATTTCTGCTATTGTCATGCCCAGGCGACATGCTGTTCTCTTCATTTTTATAAGCTTTACATGCTTCTGCCTGTCATATTCTGGCGGTTTATCTTCAGCGTCTGGATTTGCTTTCAGACTTGAATGTCTATCAAGCTGCCGTTGCTTTGAATGTGAGATCAAAAGAAGATGAATTCCAGTAAAAAATTTCCTTCTATGAAGAAAAGATTGGGGTCTGTGTAAACATCCCACTGACAGCTCCCAATGAGTTATTTTAGCTGCGTATTAGCACCTGCATGACAGACAGTCCAGCATTCCACGCTAAATAACAAATCACTTGCTTTCGTGGCAGAAGAGTATTGCCACAGGAGCAATGCGTTTTCAGGAGGAATCCTGTTCTTCCTCCTCTTTTTTTTTTTTTTTTCCCTTTTTCTATTGAATATGGCTGTTGAACTGCTCAGCCTCTCTCAAGCTGACTCGCTGTGCCTTCAGCAGTTTGCTTTTCCTTACAGAACCTGTCAAGTTCCTCAGGTGACAGAAGACAGGACTTTGATTATCAGTTTTGGGTGACTTGAGGAGTGTTTAAGTAGACAAGATAAACAGGTAGTTTGGTTGATTACAGAGAGGGAGAATGTTAAGAAAATGCAGCGAAAGCAAGATCAAGGGCATATCCCTGGAATTCAGGACAGCGTGTTCTTTAAAAATAAATGTGACAAAACCCTCTGAAGTCTGCAAAAATCTGAATTCTCTTCCTTTCTTCTTCTTCTTCTTCTTCTTTTTTTTTTTTTTAAAAGCATCCTGCCTATGTAAATGTCACCACAAAAATATCTCAAGAGCAGGTTTCCCAAAACTCTGTAGCCGTGTCCCTGTGTGCGTGAAGGAGCTGCGTGTGGCCAGGGCTTGGTCCAGCCAGGGCACCACTCCACGCGCCCTGTGGCTGCTTGCAGCCCGGGCGTGATGTCGGCACGTGAAGCACTCACAGATTTCTCCGAGTGCTAACTGCAACTTTGAACATTACCTGCAAGCTCCAACTGATCTTTCAACTTTGAAAGTGAAGAATGGCTTGAGGAATTCTTGTGGTTTCTTTGTCATTGAGCGAGCGCGCAGCCAGCTACTGTGGAGGCAGAACTCCCCGAGGTTGCTTACAAAGGGCAATGTTCCAGTGCGTTTTCTCCTCGGGTGTGCTTCAGCCGCACAGCACTTCCTGTTTATTCAAACATCTTTTTTACCACTCTGCAACCCCCGCTTCACAGAAACAGCCAGAACCCATCTACAGCAAGAAGACGGAAATCCAAAGGCAGACAGTACGAGCTCTCGCCGTCAAACTCTGCGTTTTCTCTGTAAGTGCCCAGAGGAAAAAAAAAGAAAAAGAAACATTTTTTTTTTTTTGGTTGCCGGGTTAAACTTTTAGACTGGGGCTCTGTTCTGGCTTAGACATTCACAGAAGGGCAAAATGAGATGATCCAACTTATTTACTGCCTTCTGTCCCCCCACCCCCACCCTCCTCACGCCGCCAAAGGCTTTTTTTCCTGCTTGGAGCTTTGAGAGCTCTCTGGCTCCTGCTCACTTCTAGTTGATTCACTGTGCCTTTCAGACGTGTCTTGGGGTGTAATCAGCAAAGAAAGCCGCGGCGGCGTGTTGTCAGGACAGTTTGGTGGGCTGCGGGGCGGCTGAGAACCTCTGCTTCTTGTGACATTGTTTCGCGTTGCCTTCTTTTTCTTCCTGTTATCACAAGTGGTGGGAGAATGCGGGCTCGTGCCGCTCTGCAGTTCGGCGCCGACACAATTGTCCTCTGCCGTGTGCATCGTGACATTGTCATCCTTTGTGGATCGGTCTTGATAATATTTGTACCAATTTCATGCCAATAAAAGTCAGACTGCTGAAACACGCATGGTCATTATCTCATTTATATGACTATTGTTTAAACGGAGGGGGCTGTTCGAGGACAGAGAAAGCCTGCCTCACTCTGCGCGATGGTTGTTAACTTTGATGTTGGAAGGCTCTTTTCAAAATTTCCATTGTGGATAATTAGTATGGCAGGGAAAGCCCTGAGACTTGGGCAGCCTCCGCTCTGCCTGGAAGAGCCCGGTAACTGCTCTCTCAGTCCTTTCTGTTGAAATGACTTTTTAAACACATGGTTTGACATTTTTAAGATAGTTTCCGCCTTTTCCCATCTGTAGTCATCCCTCTGGCCTCCCTCCCCTCCCCCTAAACTCCCCCAACTCATCTTTGGTCCCCCAACATTAGTGTCGTTAGTAAAGCCAGGTGCTAATTTTTTTTAACTATATACTGGTCATGGAATAGACAGGAAATGGAAAATGAACTCTTTTGATCTTAAGAGAATTCTTGTTACTCTCAACTTTGTGTGTTAGTCCCCAGACTAAATACCCTTAAATGTTGGTGTCTAAAACAGCATCTGCTAGAACAGAGAGAGAAATGTTATGTTGTATCATTGTCCAAGCTACTAATGGAAGAAACCTTTAAATAAACAACTAAGTTGGTATGTGTATTACTTTAGCTAGGATGACATTTTTAATGTTCAGAAGTTGTGCTACTTTGTAAGGAAAAAAAAAATGTTTGTGACGGCCTTCAGGACAATTTGTTTAACAGTAGGAGTAATCGCAGGGAACATGGAAAGAGTGACTCTAGGCGTATACTCAGAGGTTAGTGTAGGTGTGGGGGCTGAACACTCTGTGTGGGAACAGTGGGCAGCTTTTCTGGGTATCTCTGTCTATTTGATGACCATCAACTTTCCCAGCTCGCTGGTTTTGTTTTCTCTGGATGGCATGTTTGATTATTTATCAGAAGGGAAGGGAGTCGCTGAAGCAAATAAACATGTGACCGAGGTCTGTTTTGTTTTCCACTCAGAAAGCCATGCCCTTTGACAGATACACAGAAAATAATAAATGCATTGTTTTACGATGAAAGGAAATTATATGTCTTTTTTTATTTTATTTTATTTTTTTTGGTGGTGGTGGTTGGAGGGGGGAAGCAAGCAATTGGGTTAACCCTTAAGGCTCAGGAGGTTTTCCATTTATTTATTTATTTTTGGCCTTCTGAGAATTTGCCAGGCTTTTTATACTGAGAATCTATTGCGGTGCATGGTTTTATGGGACAGGATTTCCCAGGATTAGTTGTTCAGTAGTTGGGCTTGTCTGGATACTTTGCTTGGCTGTGCTTGCCTCAGTAGTTCTGTTTATGGAGTGTGTGTGTGTGTGTGCATGTGTGTGCACACATGTACACTCACTTTAATCAGTGATACCATTGGACAAATCAGTAGCTCTATTGGTTTTGTTGAAGGCTTTATTCTGATTTTAGATCCAAACAAGAACAGCTCGACTAAAGGAGAATACACCCAAATGTCTATTGGCCAGTCTACAACATGACTGATTAGAAGCCAGTGTTTTGCTCCCCTCTCAAAAGTTGAGGCAGGTGCTCTGATGCAGAGACCACGTGTATGGCAGTGTGCCTAAAAAGCACCTTCTCGTCATTGATACTGTGTGAGGCGTTGCATGATCTTCAAGGTCACCATTATCTCATATCTTCCCAAGGCTAAGGGAAAAGCTTGAGTCTACATCGAAATATAGGGTTTTTAAATGAGCAAACGAAAATTTACCTTTTTTGATTTTAATTCACAGGTGGGGTTTGCGTGCAGGTGTAGGCTTTCTTTATACACAGGCAGTGGCTGACATATGTGAGCTCGCTGGCACATTCTTTGGAAACTGGAGCATGCTCTCCTGTAGGGGCTTCCTCACTTACACACATCTGAGAAAGTGGTGTGCGTGATCCTAGCACAGTGCCTGGCCCCGTCGTCTCATGCTCTATAAATCACAGCTGAAAATCTGTCTCGTTGCCTATACCGTTTTGGAATGTGAATTGAAAATATGCACACAGAGGATTCCCTCTGCATTGACTATATAAGGGAACAGTGCAGTGCACGCTCCAAGCATACAGCTTCCACCAGAGCTGCCTGCATGGAACCGGGAGGTAGCTCTGCCCCGGAGAGGACAGCGCTGAAATCAGTAGCCTTTCCGCCGCCTCTCTTGTCATCTTGAGTGGCTCTCCAAAGAGCCGGTCGGGTTGGATCATCAGACTTTATACGCAGACAGAGCCCTTTGTCTGTCGAGAAATCAAAGCATCTGACTAATGTTAACTCGTTAATACTCAGAACGCCCTTGGGACGTAGGTAGGCTGCAAGATTATCCCACTTTTGAGGTGGGAAAAGGTCCTGTTGTGAAAAGAGTTTACAGTTTCCGGGAGTGTCTGCGCTGACTGCCTGGGCTGGACCTGGCAGGGGTATGATCTCGATGCTACGAGAAGTGCTTTTCCTGTGACATCATCAGGCCTGACCACAGGCAGTCTCATGAGAAAGTGTTTTGCCATGAAGACACTGGACTGGAAAATACAGCCAGTGCCTGATGCGGGTGGTGGTGGGAGGGAGGAGGCGATGTAGACTAATCATGCTTCGTTTTAATCTGTTTGGGTTCAAAGTTAGGATGTATTTTTTAAAAGATGCAGGATGGGCTGAAAACGCTGATTGTTGTTTTGTTTCACTTTGACTCAGTATGATGTTGGTGATTTAACTTCCACAAAAATCCTGTCGGTTTGTTCTCTGTGTAGAAATAGATACTACTTATTGGCTGTGCAAGTAAGTCAGAAGTTGTTCCATAGTTGTACGCTTGGGGGGGGGGGGGGCAAAAGAATTGAGTCAGTGTGTTAGCCCTAGGTGTTAGGTGTCAATCTTCAGTTCCAGTTTGTCTTGGGCCTCTGTCCAGAAGTCACTAAGTTGATAGTCTAGTGGGGCTGGCATTTGGCACCGTGTTTAACACACCACTTTTGGCACCTGTATTTTTTATTGGAGTGCCTGGGTTCAAGTCATGACTCTGCTTCTGATTCCAGCCTCCTGCTAATACACATCCCTGGAGGATGGGAGGCAGCAGGTGACACCTCAAGTAGTTGAGCCCTTGCTCCCCAACTTCTACCCATGTGGAAGACCAAAATGGAGTTCTGGCCTCCTGGCTTTGGCCTGGCTGTGACCCTGGCCTGGCCTGGCCTGGCCCAATCCCAGCTGCTATAGGCATTTGGGGAGTAAACCAACAAATTGAAGGTAGATATCTCTTCTCTTTCTTTAGCTTTCAAATAAATAAAAATACATTTTTTTAAATAAACAAGTTTTTTAAAGAGTCAAGTGGCATTTGCTGTTCTGAGTCTTGTGCTAAAAAAATCATTCCAGAAGACACTAAAGTAGGGTGGTAGCATTTGGGTTATTTCATTCTTCGTACTGTTTGTTGGAACGTGAATATAGAAATTAGATTTGAAAATCTATATTCAAAATGCGTTTCTCATTTTAAAAAGTAATTTTCAAAAGACCATAAATAATTATTCCAGTTTTGCTAGAGAAAAAACTAGTTTGCTGCAGCATTTGTTGACAGTGTATCAGGTGTAGGTGATGGCAATGTACTTGGTTTTTTTTTGCTACTTTTCTAATTCACTTATGTATTTTTCATGCCTCCTGTCCCTAACATTACTTTCATAATCAATAATCATTTATAAAGCATGTTTAAAAGTGACTTCAGAGGTCCTTACTGGTGTCGGGCTCCAGCTTCTGTGTTTCACAGGCATTGATTGTAGCACAGGTACTGTTCTTTCTTTCTATCGTGATCAATGAAGACGCTAAGGCATAGAGGTTGCATAACTGGCAAGCAGTGGAGCTGGGTATCCAGTCCAGGCGCAGTGACTGGTAGGCCTTTAACCACCATGTCTGCTGCTTCTGTGGAAGTTGTTAGTTTTGTTGTGTGTGTATTTTTTTTTTTTAAAGCAGACTTGTACTTCTTTGGAATTGCTATGATTCTCTAGAGGTCAGTAATTCCCCCAAATTCCCAAAGAATCCTTATTCCTTCATGTCTCAAGTTCTACCGTATTCTAGACTGTGGTCGCTGGAAGTTCCAAAGATCATTGTCACCCTTTGAGCACCACTGTGCCTCAGATGAGCAGTTTTCTTTTTTTTTTAATCCCACAGTCAAGGAAATGTTTCTGCTTCCTTGACCAAACCAATCACGTTCTTTTTCTCCTCCTGTATTCCCTGTCCACCAGAAGGCCAAAGTCTGTACGATTCTCACTACAAAGTTAACTTTGAATGTGGCTCGGATTAACTGAATATATTTTTCTAAATGTACCGAAGTTTCTCTTTAAAGATCTATCATGTCAAGCAAATAATTCTAGTTCCGTGTAAGTAGAATTCCAGATGCGCAGATTTGTGGATGAGGAGACACGTTTGTTTATGTCCTTCTTGAAGTACAGGGAAGGGTTCTGTGACCTTGGCTGTGTGACCCTGGACACA